CCAGCTTCAATATGCTTTGTTCTCTCCCACAGTGGGAGGTTGCTGATGGTGTCTGGTCAACGAATGCGCAGTATTTTAAGTAGACCACTGTTAATTAACACATCTTTTCAGTTACTTTCTTTTCCGATTTCAGTTCCTCAGCTGATATGTTGTCTGGTTTGCATGTATCTTTTAACTTGATTTGTAGAACGACCTAGCTGATCTATTCAATTGTTCATCGGTTAGCATTAGTGTGAGTGGTTGTGTGTGCGGTTGTGTACTCTACCAACCTGATCTTTATTGTCCATGATTGTTTTGCCTTCCTTGGTTCTTACTTGTCGTTCTGGTTTACGATTATTTCCAGTGACCTTGTTTGTTTTATCGCACAATTGTCACAAGCTCCTTTCCGTTGCTGCATTGACTGCTGTCATTGATATATCTTCCACATATTTACGTTTGTCAGCTCTAATGCCTTTCTTCAACTACCTACTTTTTCCTGTGAATTCAATTTGTACCTTGACTTTCTATTATTCTCTCGTTTGGCTGGTATTAAATGCTGCCTTCATGTTGCTCATTTCTTCAATCTTTGCCAGTGTATCAACAGTGATCCATTGCTCGTGATAGTGGTTCTTGTGACTCTGAATCTCATGGCATGTTGAAGTTATTGCTTCTTTGACCACTTTCCATTTGTTCTGCATAGTAATTTACTGTACACTAAGGAGGTCGTGGAATTCAGGGAAATATGCTGAAGTTGGATAGGACATAAATTGCAGAAATCACTGAACCATGTTATGAGATACACCTTAACATGAAATCCTAAACGGCAAACGAGATAAACTAGATCAAAGAACACACTGCACCAATAGTTGGCAGTTGGCAATGAGATGTGAGGACAATGTCAGTTGAAGAGTGCTGGTTGTCGACTGATGCTGTAACAGGCGTTAGTGAGTATATGCATTTATAATTTCGAAAATCAAAAGTAAAATTGTGTAATGATAAACGTATTACAGATGCGACCGACAAACGATCAGACGACTACACAGAGACTAATAATAATCAGTTAAAACATGTAAATTCACTTCAATAATGCAGTCCTGCTAAGGGTGTCGTGAAGAAAGAGGCGACTGGATTAGCAACTTCGCCTAAACTCAGCCGTTTATCATGACTTTTTTGCGTAACAAGCTGCCTTGCAGCTACAAAAATTTATTGTTACCTTCGTATTGAACTTATTATGAACGGCAAATGGTCACTACGGTTGCCGTTCTATTTTACTACATTACCACGAAACATCATTTGCAAATATATCATGGCAGTGAATGTCTCTATCCTTTTTCAAGTCAACTATCAAATTCCAACCAAAATCATCCTAACATTTTGAACTCCATTTGAAGACACATCAAAAGTTGACATACCTAACTCGCTAATTATACTACTCAAATGCGTTTTTCAGCGACATAAGGTTTCATTTAAAAGTAAGTTGGTCAAACCAGTCACCATTATTGGAGAACAGAGAAACAGGTGGTTAAAGTACTTTGACGCACTCTAAAATGAATCACAATCTCAAACATAATCATCATCATGGAGGCACCACACACAGACACTTACGTTGATGTCGTTACAACAACCATTGAAAAATTCAACGTATCCGTCTGAGAAATTAATTTTGTTGAAGCATCAAGACTAGATAACATACCGATTGAGGAGCAGAAGGCGGTCATAATAGTTACTGCGAACATGATCCACACCGTGTTTAGAAAGATTTGAGATGAACTAAATGTACCGACAAACCATCAAACTACTTATATCTATTTTCATTCATTATTGAATGTGTACACTCCGATGAGCACTGCTTAAATTGGTGAGACTATCATTTATGAACGACCATTGAGTGATGCCGAATTCACTTAGAAAATATTCACCTACTCATTAGGTTTAGAGAGGGTGATAAATTTTGAGTGGGATTTCATCTTTAGTACTTAGAATTAGAGGTACAATTCCAAAATGTTAGTCAAACATTCAGTATTCAATTGTCTCAATAAAAAGTGAATATCATTGCTCATGAAACGCTTTGAACTTATTGCAGAGAGCTATTTTGAATTCTTTGTGTCTGTCAGTACGCCGAAGGTAGTCTGCATTCAAATTTCTTCTCACGTCTTTCCTGGTTGTTTTGAATTGATTTTTGAAGCAGATATGATCTATCGGTCTGCTTCTTTGTATTACTAATTCACACCATTCTATTTTACTGTGAACTACTATTTTAGGATAAAGAAGGATGGTTGAGTATGACGTTAACAAGCTAATTGAATCAATGAATAGAAAATGAAGGCAGTTCAATGAAGAAAATTGTTTTCGACGATTTAGTTTACTTAAGATGTCCAATCATATTTACAAAACATTTCGTTTTCTAAAATAGTACTCTGTCTGAAAAGAGAACGGATTGCCGTGATGAAATATAGAACTAGATCGATCAATTCAAAAGAACCATGAGAGACGTGTGAACAAACAGAGAAACTGATACCGATAGGAACACCATGTGGTGTTGGCCAAGATGAAACTGAACCTAGAAAAGCAGTGGACACAATGATGTACAGCATTACAAATTTCCGATGCATTTTTTTGGTATATTGGTAGACACAACGAATTCAAGATCGGTCTCCACAATAAGTTCAAAGCATTTCATGACCTACTAAGTATGCCGGAAACTACCGTGCAGAACAAATGGTCGAGGAAGCAATCACTTGATCATGCCATGAGGTTCTCAGCCACAGGAACCACCAACACGTGGAATGGATCACTGCTGATACAGTATGTAATACCATGCAAATAAGAGCTGAGAGAGAAAGTCAAGGCATAAAGACCGGGAACACAAGAGCAAATAAGCAGATGAACAGGCGCGTTAAAGCTGACTAATGTAAATATCAGCAAACAACGCTGCAAGAGAAGTGAACATGAGACAATGGTATGATACAACAAACAAGCTCACAGGAAATTATCGTAAACCAGAACGACCAGTGAGAATGAAACAAGCAAAGCAAAGTAATCAACAACATTGAAGAACAGCGAAACAGTTAAGTAGAGTACTTTGAAGAACTGTTGAATTATCTAGCCACACTAAACAACCAACATCGAAGTGACACACACAACCTCTCCTATTGATGCTGACCCACAAGCAACTGAACGGATCAGTATGACTATTCAACAAATCAAGTTGAGAGTAGCAACTTCACCAGAAAACTTACTACCTGATGAAATGAAATCGGAAAAGGAAGTAACTGTGAAGATGTGTTGATGAACAGCTGTCTACACAAAATATTGTGCATCCATCCACCAGACACGATCAACAACCACCGCCTGTATGAGAGAATAAACCATGTTAAAGATGGGGGAGAAGTCAGGTAAAAGTGTTTGAGGTGGATACGGCACACATTTCAGAGACCGCTCAACCGTTTTACCAGGAATACCATATCATAAAATCCTCAACGTCAAACGAGATAAATTAGATCAAGGAACGAGATGGTGGAGAAGATTTGTAGCTCAGGTGGATGATTGTGGTGGTGGTGTTTGGTTCTCTGATCAAGGAATCCACTGACCCAACAGTTGGAGACAGATGTCATAATAACGAATGGTGATTCGGTATAAATGGAAATGAGGTGTGAGCACAAAGTTGGTTGAAGAATATTGGCTGATGTCCGCATCTTTTCGGGGAGTA